AAGAAACTAATAAAAAAAATTTCTTACACTCTAATTTTATATATATATATATAAAAAAATTGATTAAGGTATATTGAAAAATACAACAGATGCTATTCAAAACATTAAAAAACAAAAAAAAACAAATTAAATTCTAAGAACAGCAAAAGGGACATAATAATACGTGCGCATCAATTTTATTAGTGGTCCGTCTCGTTGACAGGATCACATGGTTTGAAAATTATTTCATCATGTTCGAGTCCAACAGTGGGGACCAAGGCGTTATCTTCTATTTTTGTCCTGCTCAGCCATATATTTCAGAGGCCAGGAACAATGTACTCTGACAGACATATTCTTTATGAGGGGCTCGTGGTCTCTCTAATTTGACACAGTTGTCAGAGATAAAGCTCCTTAGAGAGTGTGGCCATGCTCAGGGTAAGAATGGGGATTAAATTAACACCCCCACCTTCACATCCTCTGACCCCAATACAGGGGAATAAAACATACACGGTGACTCAGTTCAGTACCCAATATCTGCGTTCAAACTTTACCTATGGGTGTATTTGGCTTTTATTACTAAGGAAAGCAATATTACTTGTTCAAGTTTCCCGTTTGAAGTTGACTTTAAAGATTAAATAAGATCATAGGTTAAGATGGTTTTAAATATACAAAAAAATATATATAATTGTGGAGTTGGGAAACACTTGTTATACAAAGAACATTGTTCATCAGCAAGCAACTCTGCAATAAATGTAGGCAGTAAAAGGAAGCAGCTCACACCGTGTAACAATACACCTCCTCTCCTCAGTAGCCTCCTATCAAATGACCCGAGCACGTAAAATCAAATCAACACTGGAATGGATCATATCAAATTCTAATGAAAACATAATGTGCTCTTAAAATGTGTGTTGGCTCGGCAGCCAGTCATCCAGAGAATCTTCCCCCAGATGACGTGATGAATAGGGAACACCGTTGGAATATGCATCAAAGTCGAGCTCATGATTTATGTAATAGCAGTCACTTGGACACTGATTAGCTGCTCTGTCAAGCGTGTAATACGAGAGGCACAACCCCTGGTTTATCAGTCATTTATCTGAAGTGTGTCCTGATATTATCACTGGATCCTAATGTCATCATTATGCCGCACAGCATGTGCGGGCCAGTGTGTCAGGGTGCCGGTGACACTGCCTGTCAGAAGTTCAAGCCTCTTCATTTGCAAAAAATGCTCAGACATTCATAGCACTGTGTCAACAGTAAAATAGGGAAGCCGGATCCTATCAGTCGAAGGGACAGAAGCACACAGCCACACTAAATAAGTGGGCACTTGAGAGGTACGGAGAGATTTAGCCACATCTTTGTGGGTGAGGAGAAGCTTACATGACGATCAGGCTAATTCTTCAGAGAGGAGGAAATTGCAAAAGAACAAAATACTGTCTTGCAAAGGTAAAAATAACTCTTTAGGTTTCCCACATCTTACAAACAAACAAATCTGGTTAATATAACTAGATTTTTCAAGAGACAAATCAAAACAAAAATAGTGCATAAAAGAGGCATAACTCCATGATATCCATGAATAAACTCTAGGTCAACAATAGCTTTTAATAGATTCAGAGATCATTAGGCATCTAAGTGCATAATTGGAACTTGATAGTTCTGTGGCTGTTGTATTCTTTATATATTTGTTATATTTTCACTGTGTCCAAGTTTCTATAATATTCCATTCTTGTACACTGAATGACACAATTGCCTGAATACAATTTGTCTGTGTCTAATTGAAATACAGTATCAATAAAAAAATGTTCCTCATGTTACATAAGAGACCAAGCAAATATAAGTCACAAGGTGTTCTGATAAGATGAGTGCTCGTTTTTATGGTCCAGTTAGAAAAGCATTATGAGTAGGAGAAAACTAGTCAGCAGAACACACTATCCCAGAAGAGAAGCAAAGTGGTGACACCATTATGCTGTGGGGATACTTCAGTGACGACATGGGGGTGGTCAGAGATGATAAGAAGAGAAATGGATTTTTAAATGTTAAAATGGGTGTCCACAAAGACTCTAAATCCCACCTGCCAGAGCCGTAGCTTTTATACAAAGAAAGATGGGAAACACAATTAAGTCTCTAGATGTTCAAAGCTGCCTTTCTTCAACAGACATTTAGCTTTTGTAATGACAAAAACCCTAAAGCTGTATTAAACTGTTGCAGGGCACTGTAACAGTGTGCTGTTTTTTATGCCTGTCTCCTAGTTTGATTTAGTGAAACAGACATTACATTAATGTACCCTTGATATACACAAGAAGAACCCCCAAACCTCCTCGATGTGCAGTGTGAGGCCCAAAGAGCCATTTTCCCTGATTAAAATGCACACTCACACACACAAACCACAGCGTGAGAGGATAGTGGTTGTTCCGTCTGTCAGGACGTTCCCGCTCTCCAAGAGAATATCTGATATCATAAATGACTTCAACTCCTCCCACGCCAACATGAGAGAGGCAGAGAAACACAGGAAAAACAGAGCAAAGCTAAAGACAGGGAGCATTTTGTCTGAGCTGTGACAATCATACGATACACAGGATGGACAAAACGGCTAATAAACAATTTTGGCCACGATGACGAAAAAAAAGAGAGAAAAGGTTAGGGTTGTTATTGTCACAAACATCTGGGGCAGCACACTAAAAGGAAGCTGTGTAGCATATAAGTCTATCAACACCTCACACAAACAAAAATAGGGAGGGAAACTGAGCAGGAAAAGGAGCTCTTTGACTCCCAAACAAAAGATATCAAGCCTGGCTGCCAGCACAGACAGGGCACCACACCTTGGCAATGATACCGCTTACAATCAAAGGAACCGTCGTCATCAATGGAGCCCTGTTTTTAAAGGATATCTAAAAAGATTAAAAATATGTCTCATTATGGAAAACAATTGAGCCTTGAGTTTTTTTTTTTGTCACTCACACGCACCTCGGGCACTTTGCTTCAATACTGACTATAATATTTCCTGTTTTGATACACAACATTTACTCTTATGACAATAAATATAAATTACTTTACAAAACATGTTTTAAAATGTGCAAATATTTCTTAATATGTGTATTTAATCTGGTATTTAATCAAAAACAATAACAACTGTAAAATTAATGTATTTACAAAACATGAGAGAACACTGAGAAACATGTTTGAATTTTATAAATTAAAATAATCATAACACATTTATGCCAAAAAGCTTTAAAAAACACACACACACAGTATTATAAGATAACAGTCTGGCAAGTGAATGAGGCATCTAAATGATTTCAAACAGTATGGCTCCAAAGATCCAGCAGAGGGGGCTGCTTACTGCAATCATATGCTGATTAATTGAGCTTGATTCTCCCCATGCTGTGAACATAAGTTGTCCCACACTGTAGGCTACATGTTGGTATGTGGCTAAAGGTTACAGGGCTTTATTAGAGTCACATTTTACCACAGGTATCCTTTCACATCATTTGTGATAAATGTTAAGAAAACATTGATTTTCTGATTATCCCTCATCAAGCCTATATCAAACTACGTTATGTTCATTTTTATCAATTGTGCATGTTCCACTAATTGGCTAATGAGAGACAAAAAGCAGGTATAGAGCAGAAAAATGCAAATGACTTAGAAAATAGCACAAAAAAGTAAATGGCAAGGCTGAGAATCATCCTTCATTGAAATGTCAGAGATAAATGGCTCAAATGTCACATCAATTAAAACGGGGGACAGTTAGTAGTTCATTAAAGAGAGAGCCATATTGCACCGTCGGGTACCGTTGCCAACCCTTACTATCTGGGGCAGACTGGCAGCGGGTCCAGATGGCACGGAAATCCTCACAGATTTCAAAATGGTCTCTGCAGGGGTGGCGTTTTCTCCCCCCGCTCCCATCCTTACCACTGAGATGGGGTGTGGGCCACAGGCCCATGCCGGCCTACACTTTCCAAATGGAGGCATGCAGAGAGCTTAAGGCTTTACAGAAGTAAAAATGAACACTGCAGAAGACAACAGACACTTCAAAATGACATGATTGATGCTACACACTTTTTAAAAAGTGTTGTTGTGCTGTATGTTTATTAGAACTCTCTGGCATGAAATAACTTAACTACAATAATAGAACTGAGTACTACTAATAAGGCGACTATTAGCTAATAATATCTAAGAGATCATTAGTTATTGTTCCCTTAAAGAAGTGAGTTATCAAAAAGAAATATACCAAGGATTACAAATCCCTAACAAAGTAATTGTTACACAAAGTAATTGTGACCCTCTAAGACACACCCCCTTCCTCATTTGCAGTAATGAGGCAGAAATGCATAAAGAACTGTAAAGGCAGAAATAAATAGCGTTGAAAAAGTAAAGAGGCTAAAAAAAATACAAAGGAAGAATAAAACAGACAAAAATATTATATCATGCACATAAATAAATACTTAAAAAAAGTAATAAATAAATAAAGTTGAAGATTATAACGGACAATAAATAAATAAGGTAATTATTACAAAGGCGAATAAATAAAGAAGCTAATTAAAAGAGTTATATACATTTGTGTCTCACTGTATAATTTAATTTCTACCTACATTTATTTGTTTATCGTATTTTGGGGGCAATAAATTGAATGCTTGTTTATTTATTGAGCATTTATTTATTTCTGTATTTATTTTTAGATATGGCAGAGTTGGTCCTCCATAGATTTGGCTCTGAATAAATATCTTGAATATAAGCAGAGCAATAGCTATGTTTACAATTAATGCCTGAATATGCGTTATTATATGTTTATGAATATCAATCAAATACATAAGTCAATGGCATCACACGTCTTTGGTTTACTATGAGCCTCTAAAGAACCCCAAATCCCAACTTGACACCCATTAGAGGAGTCTTCTATCACTACTTGTAAGCGCTGGTCTATCCCTGGCAGGGGGTGGAACGGAGACTTTATCCTGGCCAATCAGAGAACAAGACAAGACTTTTGAGCGTTCTGATTGGACAGTTGGACCACGCTGTTAAAAGAAACAGGAAGTATCGTTCACTGTTCGTGGGAAGAAGATTGAACACTACTCTTGCAGTCAGAGCTTAAAAAGGCTTCACTTGTAAGCTACATAAACAATTATTTTATCCATAGGAACTATAATCATATGTTAAATTAAGCGTAGAAATTGCCCTTGTATCACACCTGATCGGTTTTGAGATATTTGAACCTCTGTTAATGTTTTAGCATTTTAACTTCGTTATTGAATTAAATATGTTTTCGAGGGTTTTATAGAAAAATAATCACTTGTAGAAATCCATGCTTATATCATGCGTGGTTCGGCATATACCTTGCATTTTTTGAACACAAAAAAAAAAACAGCACATGTTGCATTTTCACACCTGCACAGTCACGGCGAGCTTTCTGCTCAATTAATCACGCAAGTTTGACCAGGAGCTAGTCTAATGAGAAACCAGTGAAATGATTGACGAGCATGAGGATTCTGCCAGCCATACTTTTAACAACACAAGCTGCTTGCTGTTTGTTCTTCCTCACCGTGAAAAGCTGGGTAAACATCAAACATCCGAGCAGTCACTAAGTAGAACGTGCTGCCTAAATACGGAAGGCAGTATCAGCAGCACGCGGGACATTATTTTTTAATCAGCGCATGTGATTAGCAAAGACCATTATTGCCAAAGTCCATTATTCCAACCTGCGAGTCTATTTGCTAAATGGCAGACAGTGTGTCCAACGCTTATCCAAAGTGCACTGTACCATTGTTTGGCTCAGAAAATTTCTCGCCTTTATTTTGTCAGTTGAGGCAAACCCCTGATGAATACTGCGAGGGCTGCAAGAGTAGAAACAAGAAAGTTGAAGCAGACGCATTTGTGATCACATACCATGACAGATGTGCTGGTGTGCGTTTGTGTAAGGGGTGGAGGATTTTATAATAAAATAAACTTTATAAATCAGACAAAATGATTGCAAAATATATATATATTCTATATATTATTCATTTTTTCTATTATATTCTTTGTTTCATATTTTGATTATAATGATAACAGCGTTGAAGCTGTTGAGGCTCACACTCCAAATAAGCCCATTGCTTGTGCTGCCTGACTAACAGTGCATAGCTTCCAAAAATTTTTGTTTACTGTCCCTACAGGCTGTAAGACAAGTACGCTTGACAAGTGAAATCACACACAAGATATATTTTCCTAAGCTAGAGCAAAAGGAGTAATACTCATGATAAGCATTTCAGTTGAAAATCATTAAGTTATTCCAACATAATTTAATATATCAGCATGATTTAAGTGAGTGTATTCATAGAAAAAAAAAAAAAATAAGACCAAACCATTTGCTTTCCCTTTTTTGTTTTCTTTTCACCTCAGATAATATAATAACAAAAATAGCTCATAATGGTTTTATTTAATAGCAATCATTTCAATAGCTCTGGTTTTTTACTGTATAAAATAGTTGATACTCCATGTTTTTCTTCTATTCTTCTCTCCCTGTTTTTGTCAAATGATACAGAGTTAATAATGGATTGCACACCAATTATTTTGCAATAGTTGTATATATGCTTTATACAATCATTTATTAAGTGTATATTTTTTGCAATTATTGCAATATTACAAATATTAATCAGCCTCCTTATGTAAGCATCAATCATATCACAGTTTACCTGATCTTGATACATAAATGCAGCATTAAACAGTTTCAATATGCAAATGTAATAATAAAATTGATGAAGATCAGAATTATCCAATTACCAAAACTTCTGCTCCCTAACTGACCGTCAAACAACACTAAAACAGATTTATACTAAACCATCAGATTAGTTTCTTTAATGCTAAGTTAAAAAAATATTAATACATGAAATATTTTATGCACTTAAATGCTTCAATACCGAATTATTTTAAGAATACTTATTATGTTTCGCAAATAAGTCTTCCAATGGATACAATCAGAGCTTTTAACATTAAGCAGATCAACTACACTGTTATGTGGTGCATAATTTGAGCTTAATCATATTTTAGAAATATCGTTTTTCTATGTTTTGTTACAAATGACAGCTAAAAAAAAGTTTGGATGATCAAAATAACAATCCTGCATATTTATGTTTTTGTTTTAAGGGAGTTACAAACTTCATTAGTTAGACTGAGGCTTAATTATTGAAAGACCTCTCTCTAAATAGATACATACATACATGCATGCATACATACATACATGCATGCATTCATGCATACATACATATATACATACATTGGTTGATTGATAGATACTTTGTATACATATGATATATTGTTTGTGTAAATTCATGCATAGATGATTGAGTTTATACTAGGCTGTTTATCCTTAAATCTTTACATAAATATATATGTTTGTGTTTGAATGTATATTTGAAAAAAGTTTTTTGAGAACTTTTTTGTACCATTTTTAACTTTTCACATCAAGGTTCTTGGAAGTAAAGGTTTCTTGCAGTCAATGTGACCTTTATTTATTATAACCCCCATCTCTCAAAATCTCACATATAACATAGTCAATCATCTCTCAGTCCCTCAAAGTAAAAATAAAAAAGGAACTGCTGTCTGGTTATTGCCAGTATCCATCTCAGTCGTCAGAAAAGCTGCACGTTTTTGCTGTTGTTAAGGGCTGGAAACCAGAATCCCATTGGAGTTGCACCCCAAGGAACAAATTTAATGCTAGAAAAACATCCCGGCCATCAACCAAAAATGACGGATTGAAAATAATGTCGAGCTATCTTGGGAATCCCCCACCAGACAAGGGAACAGACTGCATTGTTTTTCTCATTTATGTGATGTATAGAACAGAAAGAGGGTAAAAAAATGGGCGATTTATTGGTTAGATAGGCGTATTCTGTTCCACGCACAAAAGAAATATTTGAGAATAATGCAGGGATCAAGTCACATCATGACATTGTTGAAAGGCTAGGTGTTCAAATATGCAAGTCATCTGCTGTTGGTGGCATGCTTGGTTTTCAATAGATCACTCAATGCAAATTTTTTCAGAGAAAATTGTGAAAGTTGCCACATGAATATGTCAATAAACATGGTGTAATTTGTTCTTCCTCGGCAGGGCAGCGAGATGAAGAAGCAAGGGGAGAGCCGGTGCACTCAGAAGACCATCTCATTGCTGAGCCCCCTGGGGACGATCCAAGTCAGAGGATGTGAGAATGGTGTGCACACCATCCAGATCCTAATGGATGTCGCACCTGCTGAAAGGTACTGTACAACAGCCGGGCTGGTGACGTGATAAACAAAGGTGTGAAATTTACAGGCAGACAGAATCCACTCCTGTGATGGAGTGCCACCATTCCTCATTGGAAGCAGGGCATTTTTGTAGATCCCACAAGAAATATCCTGGAGAAAGTTGGGCAAATATGAGCAGGCACTAGAAATATGAGGGGCACTAGAATACTGTTGGGCTCGAAATTAGATTTCTGATGGCATGTGGTTGTGATTCTTCCTGCAGTATATTTGAAATTTCAGAAAAATAACTTGTTTATTACCCTCAAGGGAGTCGATTAGAAATGATGTCTGGGAGGTCAGCTAAGGCCACAGGGAGCATGGACTGCTCTCTCCTGTTTCTTTATGTTTCCTTCAAGTTGTATGCAGTAGTTTGGAGTGTCAACTGACACTCAGAAATGTATTATGTGGTTGCATTTCATGGCTCCCCCATCCCTCAAAATTGTCGGAATATAGACATTCCTACTGAAGCGACTGAAACTGATTAGAGTCGGCATTAATAGGTGCTCATTCCTTAGTTTTAAAGGTCCAAGTCCTACATCCTAGATTACTTTTGATGAGATTGAAATTAAATATCCATGTTTCACAGATTCACATTTGATAAACTTGAATGATCTGGGAAATTAAACCATTTCAAATGCATCCGGATAAGAAGTTATCCCTTTCAAAATGTCCGTTTAAATTCTAATTTATGGAAACCCATTAATGACCTTGTATATTACACCTCAACATGTGTTTCCTCCTTGACTGTCTGCTATTTCCCAAAATTCATCAAGCAGCAAAAACACTCCACTTGTTGTTAATGAGTTGAAGTGAGAAAATTAATAATATGGAATTTTGATTATGGAAGATGTCCTGTAACCATGCGCAGGCACCTTTCTCCGTCTACCCGCGAACGGGGTTTAATTTGTGCGTTCAGGTTCAGTAGGAATATGCAAATGAATTTAATGATTCGCATCACTAGATCATTTCTCAGTTTAATATCATTTGCGATGTCGGTCATAAGTGGGAGCGATCGCATCACTGTCTATATGTTCTCCAAGGTGTGAGCAAGAAGTCATTAGGAAAATGTTTAGATTTTATCTTGGCCAGTAAAATATGCCGTCATTGTTGTAGGAGATGGTGAAGCAGAGCTACCTCCGATATGTTGAGTTACTCTATGTAAACAGGCATTAAGGAAGGCGAGATAAAGTGACAAAATACAGGCTTATCTTTGCAACCGGCTTTCCATGTAGATCTCACAAAAGCCTGTCTGTAGCTGTAATAGTTCAGATCAGGCATCTCCATTGATTTATTTATGACATACTAAACAAGGCTCTTCCCAGCTTTGGATGTGGTGTGGCGCAGGCTTAGTAAGTCAGTGTGATAAATGACCTCTAAGAGCATGTTTTGGATAAGAGAATAGATAACATCCATGCATAAAACAAAGAGTGACCTGCGGTACATTTATAGGCTTGTGTGTGTTTTATTTTTTTCTGTGCGTTTGTTTCTCCTGCTCTTGCAGCTTAATCGCTGCATGATGGGCCTGAATACTTTGTAGCATAAGGTCAGATTGGTTCTACCAAAGAGGAAAGGGAAATATTTGTCCTGTTGTATAATTAAATTTATTGACTTTGTTACTGATTAAAATAACTAAGTGGACAACAGTTAGGAGACATTCTGGACCTGAATTTCATACCCACGTGCAGCCATTTTATTTGTACCAGTAAACAAACCCATTTATAATAATGTACTTGAATTATTGCATATCTTTGTTTTTCATTGCTGTAAGGCATTCGGGCAATGCATAAACATGATATGAGGAATGTTATGTATAGTTAATGTAGCTGTAAAATGTAATATTATGCTTCATATTAAAATCAATTTAGTTTGTTTATAAAGGCGGTTACAGATCAATTCATTCAAATGATATAGATAGATTAGGTAAGTGTTTTTTCTAAGGAAACAGCTGATTGCATCCAGTCATTGAGTCCTCCTGGAAGATCATTTAAGAACAGTTGACATTCCTTGGCCAAGTGTTGTTAACTTTGCAGAAATCCCTCACACCCAGCAAGTATTCAGTTACAGTGGGAAGGAAAACCTCCTGTTTAACAGGAAAAAAAAAACTACAATTACAATGTAAGCCTTTCATATCAGTCAGTATAATTATTGATTAGTATTTTGTATTTATTGATTTAAAAGAAGGACTGGGTTAAAAAGCTCAAACTTTAATTGTAACCATAACCTTAATTTAAGCATACATAAGCTTTGAAGTGGTGACAGTGCCTGTTTGAAGCACAGTTTGGTCTGTCTCTGTCATTGTGTCCTTGGGCAAGACCCTTCACTTGCTCTGCCTTTTGACATTGGTCAGTGGGCTTGTTTGTATCAGTGCATGAGGGGGTGAATGACTGAAATCTCTTTACAAGTACAGGTAATTTACCATTTAACCTTAAAAACACACCAACATTGCTTAGTTTGGCTATGGTTGAGATGCTAAATCTGTTTCTTTACCTACCGTATGTCCTCCAGAATGTTCAGTGAATTATGTAGTTTATATTGGTGGTTATATTGGTATTGATCAGGTGTCTATCATGATATATTTTGATGTTGATTTATTATCCGGATGTAAGAGAAGTTAATCGTTAATTATCTCAAGAGGTGTCTTTTGGAAAGAAACAGTGAAGCAAATGAGCGCTGAGTCAGTTTTGAAGTCAAAAGGGTGAAAGAGGGCATAAATATAGTAGGTCAGAGCTGAGCCAACAGCTATGTCTAGAAGAAAAATGGAAATAAAGCTGAAAGACAGGTCCAAATGTATTATCTAAAATTAAAGTTTTTGATGGCAGAAGCACAGGTGATGCTTGCCTCCAGGTTGGGTCGCAGCTAATCAGAGGAATACTCTTAAATATTACTACTGAAACTTTAATAGCTGCTTTAACTAAGGTTGTCAGTTCAATCAGTGTTTTTAAGTAATAAACACTAGGGGTGTGGCAAAAAATCGATATGACGATATATCGTCCTGTATGATATCAATCTTTCAGTTCCTAATATTGACTTTTTAAAAAGCGAAATATGTTTACCTAAAAGAATGAGGGAAATAGGCAACCTCTGCACCACCACTCTGGTAGATAGCGCAGAGGAGTTGACTCAAACCTCAAACAACATGTAAACGAAAATAACTAATTGATCTATATCTTCTGATTAATATACAGTATACAGCACTTTTATCTATAGAGACACTTTTTATAGCTGGGAAAAATACCTCAATATATAGTGATATTGCATTATTGTGATGATATTGTATTGTGACATGTATTGTATCGCAACACCCAAGCCAATACTCACCCCCAATCAACACACAAACAAAAAACAAATCATTAAGGATAGTCTTGCATTAAAAAATACATACAAACTGTCACATTTCTGATTTCAAACTTTCAACTTTCCCTTAAATAACCTCTGCAGAGTATGAAATCAGTAAGCTGCTGCTTGAAGCTTAAAATCGGATTCAGAAAACCTTATCAGTCTAATAAAGGGTGGGTAATTTCAGCAACAACCCAAACATACACAACGGAACAGATGAATATGGGCTACAACAGTTCACAGAGGCTCCTCTTCCCTCCATTAAACATATTTCATCCCAACTCTGTGTGTCCCGTGCCAGTAACACTATCAGTGACCCCTCACATCCCATCATGGACTGTTCTCCCTGCTACCATCTGTGAAGAGGCTTTGCAGCATTCAATGCAGTATCAGTAGATTCTGCAACAGCTTCTTCCCCAATGCCATCAGTCAGCTGATCTGTTGAGAAAACTCTAAATCATGACTCAGACTCTGCATCACACTGATAACACCAAACCAAAATACTGCATATTTGCACCAATTATATTTAATGCTCTGAACTTCAATATCAATGCGTTTTTTTGCACATTTTTTTTTTTCTTACTGCTGCACTTTATGGAATGGAAATGTTCTGAAAGCTGTACGAAACAAAATTTTGTTTTGTATGAACTCTGTATACAAAATGACAATAACAGTTGTCTAAGTCTATATACATAATTCCTGCTTCACCAAATATATGAAAAATAAAAGAAATTGAATTAAAAAAATTCTTATTGTGGAAGGAATTAATGTTTTTTGAGTAGTGGTTGGTTCTAATCATAGGAAAATTATAAGGCTGACCTGAAAGTAATGAAATAAAACTGAGGATAAAAATGGATCAGTGCATCTATACTTATTTGCAGCTCTTATGCTTTTATTTAGAGACATGTGGTGTAAAAAGTTGTTACTGCACCAGGTCACAACAGAGGATAGAGCTGAACCATAGCCTTTATCATCTTTCTGGAAAAGTGACAAGAATTTAGCAAAGTGGAACAAATTGTAGTAGATCTATTTTATCAGTCATGAGGTAGACTACAATATCTTTTTACATTTTTTTGAAGGTTTTTATTATGAAAGTGGTGGGTATACTTGGTCTAAAATCATTAATCTCCAGTCATCTAGTGGATTTGGAAATAGGAATTATAGTAGATGTTTTTCAAAGTTTTGGAATTTGGCCCAGGTCCATAGACATTTGAAATAGTTCTGTTACAGCTTTGTTGAAAATCATCAGCACAGTTAGGCAGTGTGTATTCACATAGAACATCAGGTCTACCACCTTTTTTTTAGAAGAGTGGTAAGATCAGTTTGAAAGGTTAAAATGTCTTTGGAGGAAACTAGTGACTACTTAAGATGAGAGACAGTAGTTAGGTCTCTTAAACTGAAAAAAATACTTTGAAATCAGCAGGCAGTTCCAAGTCACATAATCCAGTGATTGTTATAGTTAATTCTTTAGAAAGGTACTGGTTGATTATTGCCAATGTTTTTTAAGCATTTTCAGGATGCTTTTATTTCCCCCAATGCTAAACTAGATTAGATTGTGCTTTTCTTACCTTGTTTTTATTTTCAATGCTTACTTTCTACAAATCTTTACCATCAACAGTAAGGAAAATGGTTGTCTC